AAAAAAAAGCTGAGCAATCAGAACTGCAATATATGTGGCATCTGGGATCATCTCAGAGCATCTCCCTTACAAAGCGTTCCAAGTTTTTCTAGTACCCTTTGGCTTAAAACTACCATGGACAGGTAGCGGCCACACTGAAGCGGATTTTTGAAGCAAAGTTAAAAAAATAGTTCGATACGACACCACAGGTTGCATAGTGAGTCTCTGAGTTCCGTGGCAAATAGCAACCATGAAAACACTCCTTCCTTAGCGTGCTGTCCTCTGCAGCCACAAACCACAGTGCAGCTCGTGAGGCCGTTCCTAGATTGGTTTACATCGGTCCCCGGGCTTCCCTTCACCTCGGAACGCCGCTCTCTGCTCACAGCACAGCCACACTGTCGCTCAGGGAACCGTGTAACCTACTTGGAATGCCTCAGGAGCTTGTAACAATATGAGTGCAAGGAACCTCATGTTTTTAACAGTTAATTAAAGGTGATCATCTTCAGACTTGGTTTCTTTTTATGCAATTAAGCACAGATCAGGAACAATTTGCATGGCTTCTATCGGTTCTGATTAAACATTCCTGCTAGAATTTATGCCATCCCATGAAAAGCAATTCTGAGCTATCGCTTTGGTGTGACTGTTCTTTTGCCTTTCCGGAAGAGCATTTTGCTAGGTGGGCTTAATTGGCCATTTAAAAAGTACTGACGTCCCAGGAAGAGTTAGAACAGGTCCCCTTAATGAGTTGGGTTGAGAAAATATTGGCACTCCATAAAATGTCATCCTGCAGCCCAAATAGCGATTAAAACTCAACCACGTGAAATTTTTAAAATTATGAAACCAAATAAATGCCATCAGCAACAAAGTTTCCCCAGGGAAAGAGCCAATAGACTCTTCACTTAGATTCTGTGTCTACTGAGTTTTGTAGAAATTCCAGAAATGCGAAGACTTTCAGCTCTGACCTCAGCTATTTTAAGCACAACACAGCAGAATCCACAGTTTGGAGATACACGGGTTTGTAACAGAAAGGGGTACGATTAGATGGCACTTACCTCTCCTCTTCGTATGCCCATGCTGATATCTTGCACAGCGGTGGTCTTCTTGAAGAAGCCTCCATAGCTTTTACTAAGGTTGCATAACACGAGAAGGTCTTCACTGGTCCTTCCTTTCAACACTCGTATCTGCTCTCGTTCCACATCTACATCCTTGGAAAACGTGACCGTGCCTTGGATGGCAGCGTGACCTCTGGGAACATAAAGTGAAGAGCTCATTCACGTGTGGGAACAGGAACTCGAAGAGTCCAAGAGAGGGAGGGCGAGGAAGGTCAGACACCTGTCAACACAGAAGATGCGGTCTTGGGAGGCACTTGGGTGGCTTAGAGGGTGAAACATCTGACTTCGGCTCAGGTTGTGATCTTACAGTTGATGGGTTCAAGCCCCGCGTCGGGCTCTGGGCTGACAGCTCAGAGCCTGGAGCCTACTTTGGATTCCGTGTCTCCCTCTCTCTCTGCCCCTCCCCTGCTCATGTTCTGTCTCTGTCTCTCAATAATAAATAAACGTTAAAAAAAACTTTTTTTTTTTTATTTTTTTAATGTTTATTTATTTTTGAGACAGAGAGAGACACAGCATGAGCAGGGAAGGGGCAGAGAGAGAGGGAGACACAGAATCTGAAACAGGCTCCAGGCTCTGAGCTGTCAGCCCAGAGCCCGATGCGGGGCTCGAACTCACGAACTGTGAGATCATGACCTGAGCCGAAGTCGGACGCTTAACTGACTGAGCCACCCAGGCGCCCCGAAAAAAACTTTTTTAATAAAAAAAAAAAAAAAAAAAAAAAAGGAAGAAGAAGATGCGGCCCTGAGACAGCACTATCAGCTTTGAGCACACGCCCCATTTCTGCCATCGGGTTTAATGACAACGAACAAGAGTCCACGTTTATCTCCTAACGCGAAGGAAACGCATGGTGTTCCGAAAAAACAGCAAAGTGGATGTTTGCCCAACTAGGGCTGGTTTTCAATTTTACAGCTAAGAAAGTTATGCCAGACTTTCGTGCGAGGGGAAGGAAGAATTTATCACAAGACTGTCACGAGGAGTCATCTAAGTACTGTCGGCAAACAGGTCACTTAAATAAAGTTGGCGTTTCCAGAACAGCCCAAAAGCTACAGTTACGTGGTTCAGGCTGGATGGTGTAAGCAGACTGTCACACAAGGGATTTAGTGAGTGTCGGATGAACACGAATTTAATTTTCAAGTCTAATTTCTTTGTTTCAGATCGGAGCTGCTCGGTTTTCAATCTTTCTTATGATTCTCCACCTGGCACATTTTAACTTTAAAGTAAACTTCAGCTTCCCCTGTACACCATAACATGCCAACGTGTTTTGATCGTTAAATGGGTTCTGGTACCCATTTTGATCATGAAATGAGTTAAGGTGGGAGAAGGGCACACAGGGTCTCTGTACTAATTCTGCAGTTTCCTGGGAGTCCTAACCCATTTTAAGATAAAAAGGCATATAACATAAAATGCCCACCGCCAGGTTCCAGTGCCCCTGTATTATTATTATTTTTTAAGCTTATTTACTTATTTTGGGAGGAGGGTGAGTGAGAGTGGGCTGGGACAGAGAGATAGAGGGAGAGGGAGAATCCCACACAGGTTCCACCTGTCAGCACACGGCCCCATGCGGGGCTCGAGCCCATGAACCGTGAGATCATGACCTGAGCTGAACTCAAGGGCTGGACGCTTAATTGACTGAGCCACCCAGGCCCCTGCTCTCTATTACTTTTTCTGTGCCTGACATCACCATTGAACAAAGATAGAATTTATTCAACACACAACCTCGATGATGAGAGAACACAGGTAGCTACTTGGAAGTATGTGTTATAGGACGCCATCCACAGAACATGCAAAAGCACGAGAAACAAATCAAAAACAAAACCAATGGCAAGTTACAGAAATCACTACTCCAAGATCATCGTATCAGCGCAGGAATGCTTCTGGAATGCTTGTCTTCCGTATTGTGAACAAGGATTACATGGTGGAGTTGAAATGCATAAGCTCGTGTGTGAAATTAATGTATTTTAATTAGCAAAACGTAATGGCTTTTTATTTGTTTGGGGAGAGAGAATGCAAGGTAGTGGGGGGGGGGGGGGGAGATGGGGCAGAGAAAAGAGAATCCCAGGGAGGCTCTGCAGTGTCAGCTTGGAGCCTGATGCGGGGCTCGAACTCATGAACTGTGATACCATGACCTGAGCCAAAATCAAGAGTCAGACACGCAGCCAACTGAGCCACCCAGATGCCACAGAACATAATGGTTTCTAATGTGTTAAAACAAAACAAAACAAAACAAGAAGGGCGTTTACGTACAGAGTGGCTAATGACTTTGGAGAGGCTGATGTGCTCTGTGGGGTGAAGGGAACAATGGTGTGTTCAATGTGTGAAAGTTCACCCCATGTCACACTTTTCTGTTGGGGGGTCACTTCCCCCTTTGCTGGCTGCAGGTGTGACTTTGGACCCCCCAGTGCACCTGGCCCTTCCGGCAGCCTTTCCTGGCTCAACGAGGTGAGACTGAGACCCTTCTTCCTCCCTGTTTCCAAGACCCATTCCCAAGTTCTCCCATCAGCAGCTCTGAGCCAGGAATCACCTGGAAAGCTGTACAGGTATCTCCTCGATGCATCCCCAGAGTTTTTGATCTCAGGGTTGTGGGGGAAGCGTAGGGGCGGGAAAGTGTATTTGTTTACATGTCAAGTCATTGTAACAGACGCAGGACAATGGCTCGGAGTCACTTCCCGTTGGTCACCTCACAACCCAACATGCAGTGCATCCTTAACTGTGCTCAGAAAACTTCGGGCTGAGGAGGAATACGCATGGGCACCAGAGAGTCGGCAGAGAAATGCTGTCCTGGGGCCCATGCCCGCTCCCTCCCAGCCAGCAAAGGCACAGACAGCAAAGCCCAGCTCCAGACCGGAGAGAGAGTGTAGGCAAGAAGGTGTCCGGAGGCACTGGGCCTGACCGGGACTCCGCCAGGGCTCAGATCCTAGTGGAGGCCTGGGCTCTGAGCACACGGCCGAAGGTCAGCAGCAGGCTGCGGTTCAAGGTCAGCACAGCCTAGGACAGACAGCAAAGAGGTAGGCTCGCTCGCTCATCTCTCAGGGCCAGCATCGGGTGCTGGTCATGGACACGCCGCTGAGCAGGGGCGGGGGACCAGCACCGACCGTGCCAGGGTCAGGGGGCAGGGTCCTCCTGTTCTCTTCCTCGATCCAGCTAGAGCACCAGACTTCCCGCACCAAGGAACTGACAGGCAGGCAGAGCAGAGGAACACGTAAACGCTGTAAAAAGACACTGTGGTCCCGGCAGAGAAAGACAGGCTGGAAGGCATCAGGCCAGCCCTGGGAGGTGCGTGCTGGAGGTGAGAGAGGTCAGTCCTGCCAGAGACCCCGACTGGGCAGGCGACCAGAGGCAAACGCCACCCACGGGTATAGAGCGAGGGTCACGGAAAGCTTTACGGAGCACGAGCAGGGCAACTTGAGGGGGCCTGGCTAAGAACCTTGGATTTTCTCCTTCAGGCAATGATTAGTGACCCGACTGGATGCGGATTTAGAAAAACAAATTAATTTGGTGGGATGGTCACTGTAGTAGCCATCCGTAAGGAGTGGTAGGCAGCGAGCGTCTCCATCAGATTGAATTTCAGTGCCCTGTGGCCTCCCCGCTGACAAAGAGCAGTAAATACCGACTATTTCCTGTGGATAGCACAGACATTATTCTAAAATATCGTTTAACTTATGCTCCGCAGAGGAATACGGGAAGACTTCTCTTTGAAAAAGAAATCTTTTGGGGGGCCTGGGTGGCTGAGTCGTTTAAACATCTTGACTGTTGGTTTCAGCTGGGGTCATGATCTCACAGTTTGTGAGTTCAAGACCCACGTGGGGCTCCACTCTGAGAGCTCGGAGCCTCCTTGGGATACGCTTTATCCCTCTCTCTCTCTGCCCCTCCCTGGCTTGCTCTCTCTCTCTTTCACAAAGTAAATAAGTAAAAAATAAAATAAATGGAATGGAATGAAATAGAATAGAATAGAATAGAATAGAATAGAATAGAATAGAAAAGTCTTTTGATGCTACTGGAAACTGGGGCACCCTGAAATCCATCCAAGGGGATTCTACAATTTAGGTTTCAAAACAATTAAACTCACGAGGGCCAATCACGGAACCAATTATGCTGGAAAAGCACTCAGAATTCTCTTCCAAATTCAGTCAGATACTGGAAATCCATGGACCCCAGAGTGAAAGTGCCCAGTTCAAGATAGCCTTTAGGATTTGTATTCAAAGCGGTCCACTGCTGTAGCAGATTGGAAGGAATTATAAAGGAAGCGTGCCTTGAGAGGACGGACAGGAAAAGTCTATAAACTCTTCACCACAAAATATTAGTAACATGCCCGTGATCCTCAACAGGTTCTCTCCAGGGACATGGTCCTCATTAGTAATTTCTCCGTGAAGGATCCCTCTCGCAGTTGAATCTAGAGAGAAACGCACAGCTCCTGGAAAGAGCGAGTCAGTGGACGCGGGCCACATGGGTCACAGAGGGAGAGGCACATCACTGTGAGGCTGACCCAGGAAAGCACATTTGTTCGGCAGCCATCGAAAATGTGCTACGTGGCAATATTCTAGACATCCTGGCAAAGCCACTTAAATCCCACTTAGAATAACAGAGACGTGTGTGTGTACATAACTGTGTGTCTATGTAAGTAGACACATCAACATAAACGTAAGTTCTATATTATTATGGGTTCATATATGGGGTATATGTAAATTTAAGAACTATTAGGGGTGCCTGAGTGGCTCAGTCGGCTATGCGTCCAACTTCAGTTCAGGTCATGAGCTCATGGTTCATGAGTTCGAGCCCTGCGTCGGGCTCTGTGCTGACAGCTCGGAGCCTGGAACCCGCTTCAGAGTCTGTGTCTCCCTCTCTCTCTGCCCCTATCCCCACTCTCTGTCTCTCTCTCAAAAATAAATCAACAGTAAAAAAAATTTTTTTTTAATGAGTTGTTATGGTACCAACGAAATTCACCCGACATGTTGGGAAATTGAGCGCTTTCCATAGGGGAAAATGAAACCATTGGAACGATCCCCTCACAGGTTGGTGTTTTTTATCTTTTGGCGTTCTCCTTCCTAGGGTTGGTGACTCACAGCGATCAAAAAAGAAAAGAAGATGGCAATGCAAGCTGGTGCAGACACTCTAGAAAACAGTATGGAGGTTCCTCAAAAAACTAAAACTAGAACCACCCTAACCAGGAATTGCACTACCAGGCATTTATCCACGGGATACAGGTATGCTGTTTCGAAGGGACACATGCGCCCCCATGTTTATAGCAGCACTATCAACAATAGCCAAAGTACGGATATGTATATGTATATGTATACGTATATACATATATACGTGTATATATATACATATATACGTGTATATATATACATATATATGTATACGTATATGTATACATATACGTATACGTGTATGTATACATACACGTATATGTATACATATATACATATACGTGTATGTATACATATATGTATATATACATATACATATATATACATATGTGCATATATATATACATATGTATATGTATATATATACCATACATATATGTGTGTGTATATATATATATATATATATATATATATATACACACACACACAATGGAGTATTACTCGACAATCAAAAAGAATAAAATCTTGCCATTTGCAACTACGTGGATGGAACTGGAGGGTATTATGCTAAGTTAAATGAGTCAGTCAGAGAAAGACAAATATCATACGACCGTACCCATAGGAGACAAAAGAGATGAACATAAGGGAAGGGAAACGAAAATAATATAAAAACAGGAAGGGAGACAAAACCGAAGAGACTCATAAACATGGAGAACAAACTGAGGGTTACTGGAGGGATTGTGGGAGGGGGAGCTGGGCTAAATGGGCAAGGGGCATTAAGGAATCTACTGCTGGAATCATCGTTGCACTAGATGCTAACTAATTTGGATGTAAATTTTAAAAAATAAAAAAGAAAATTAAAAAAATTAAAAAAGAAAAGAAGGAAAGAAGAGAAAAAAAACCCGACAAAAAATCACAATCTTCACTCATTATAACTGCGTGTAGCACTGACGGGACGCATTTCTTTTCTTGCAATCTCCAAGATGGAGCTCTCTCTCCCTCTTCGGTCAAAGGTCGGTGCCCTCCCAGGCTGAGCCCCGCGGGACGTACCGCGGCCGCTGCAGAAGGTCCCAGTGCAGCAGAACCCTCAGGATAAGAAGCACGGTGCCTTGTGAGGCCAACTGCACGAAGGTCCAGCCCAGGAAGTTCATCTCAAAGGGGCTCACGTAGGAATCGACGCCGAAGCTGTGGGTCAGGTCGTACTTGATCTGGTTGTAGCAGAGTTCAATCAGCCCCTGCCCCAGGCAGAACTGAGGAAATACGATGAAAACCCACTTGAGGACGTCATAGATGTTCTGCAGACTCTGTGTAGAGAAAGAAAGAGACATCAGACTGACAGCTCTTGAAACCCTCCGTGTCTCCCTGGCCGTCCCATGTGCCAGGTCCCCCTTGCCCCAGCCACTCAGCGACACGCGCAGGCGGCTACGGAACCAGAGAGAATGATCCTCAAGCCTCAGGTCTAGTGGTATTGCATTGCCCGGGGGTGGACGTGCGTGGGAGCCTAAACCTACTTCCTCCTTCCGAGTTATCCTTCTGGAATAGGCAGGTCTATCCTAAGCCTGTACCTCAGATGTACTTTGGAAGCACATAATTTGTCTGCTTCACAGGCTCATGGGTGGAGAGGAAGTCTGTCTGATGATGCATCACGAAGTCTTGCCCCCACCCAATTTAGGGGAGACCTCGGAGAAGACTTCTGAGCTGAAGCTAGAGTAAGCGAAGACTCTGGGGGCTGCTACGATGGCATGGATGTACGTTTCCTGTGAGACAGACATGGACTTGCGGGGCCCATGGTGAAAGGTTATAGACTGAATGTTTGTGCCCCTCAAGTTCATGGTTCCAGCCCTGATCCCCAGCGTGATGGTATTAGGAGGCTGGACCTTAGGGAGGTGATTCAGGTTGGACGAGGTCATGAAAACAGAACCCCCACGATGGGATCAGTGCCCTCGTAGGAAGAGGAAGAGACACCAGCATTTCCCGTCTCTGCTGTGTGGGGACGCGGCTGGGAGGAGGTCGTCTGCAAGGCAGGAAGTGGGTCCTAACCAAGACCTGATTCTACACGCAGCTTGATCTCTGACGCCCAGTCTCCAGAATGGTGAGAAGTAAGTATCTGTTGTTCAAGCCACCTGGCCTGTGGCAAATGTTATAAGTGACACTCTCAGTCACAGGCAACATGAGTGTTCAAACGGGTGGATAATACTGGGAGTTGTCGCTGGGAACATGTTAATCACACGTAAAATGCCTCCTTCAAACTTAGCGTAAGTAAATGTTAAACATATGTAGTTGTCAGGGTGCCTGAGTGGCTCAGTCAGTTAAGCGTCTGACTCTAGGTCATGATCTCACAGTTCGTGGGTTCGAGCCCCTCATCGGGCTCTGTGTTGACAGTGCAGAGCCTGCTTAGGATTCTCTCTCTCCCTCTCTCTGCCCCTCCCCGACTCGTGTTGTCTCTGTCTCTCTCAAAATAAATAAGTAAAAACTCTAATATATACATATAGTTGTCTTTCTTAAGTGTTGTTTCAAGGACAAAGGAATAAAAGAACAGAAGGAAACATCACATAGATGATTGCAAAGAAAAGAAAAAACAACATAGGACAGGCTGCATACTTGAACAATACCATTTTCAAATTGAATGTATACATATGGGGGCGCCTGGGTGGCTCAGTCGGTTAAGCGGCCGACTTCAGCTCAGGTCATCTCGTGGTTCGTGGGTTTGAGCCCCCGTGTCGAGTTCTGTGCTGACAGCTCAAAGCCTGGAGCCTGCTTCGGATTCTGTGTCTCCCTCTCTCTCTGCCCCTCCCCCGCTCACGCTCTGTCTCTGTGTCTCAAAAATAAACATTAAAAAATTTTTTTTAAATGTATACATATAAATGTATGTATCTGCCATAAAATTTACTATTTTTCTTACCCGGTGGTATCTTATGAATGTGAGCTCTATTCCATAATTGAGGTTAGAATTGTCAGAGTGTTAATCATCGTCCATTAGGACTTCCTGGTAAGTACCACGTACTGGAAGCTTGATGGAACATCACTGCAGTCCATTCCCTCCATAAATGTACAAAGTCCTGACTGGTAGACCCAGTTACCACTGAGGAAACACGCTCAAGGGGCTGATGAATGTGTTTAAGCCACATCGTGGTAGGCCCAGGATTTGACCCTGATCTTTCTGGCCCGAAGCATAAAATCTCTCCACCAAGGAATTTAGCCTTGAGAAAATTCACTGCAAAGTGGTCTTTTCAGCTGACTTTTAAAGACGGGGGTAGCTAAGCACGTAACCCAGGAAGACCACATTAACCGCCTGCCAGACAAAGCTATGGAAACACAATCAAGAATTAAGGCTCAAGAATTATGGGTTCAATGTCACTGTCTCTTTATGGTCAAATTCAAAAACTGATCTGAACAGTAATATTTTATAAGGGTGCAAAGTCATCATACTGTATACACTATAATACACAGCAGGGGGCATACCATATCACCATTAAAGTTTACAAAATCATCAATTGTCTATTTCATCCTGGACAATGTCCAGTTTTCCCTTACGATGAAAACTGACAGCCGGACTTGTATAAATGTAGTCTTAAATAATGTGATTTGGTGGGGCGCCTGAGTGGCTCAGTCGGTTGAGCATCTGACTTCGGCTCAGGTCATGATCTCGCGGTTCGTGAGTTCGAGCCCCGTGTCGGGCTCCATGCTGACAGCTCGGAGCCTGGAGCCTCTTCGGATCCTGTGTCTCCCTCTCTCTGCCCCT